CCAAGGACCTGGGATAGACAGATGTTGTTGTTTGATGGTGTTGAAGGTATCATCACAGAATATAAACTAGAGAGACATGGACTGGCCTTAGTTTTTGGTTCAATCTCTTTAAGGCCAATTTTCTTTGGTGGCTGTTGGGGAAAAAATGGAGTTCTCTGTATAGGTTGCTATGAATTCTTAAGGAAAGCCAGATATAAATCTTAACAATTAGCAGAATTGTGTGGGAAGGTGAAGTTACAGACTTAAATGGATGCCTTTCCTCATGGTTTGATGCCCATTTCACTCCTTTAAGCCTCACAAGAAATAAAAAAGGAGCTCAAAGCTTTGGCTCTACCTAACCTAAAGTAGCTCTGAGGATTGCAAAAAGATGTTGGGGAAGTCTGGTTTATATATCTAATACAGCATATTAACTATCCAGTCCTATTTTAAATGATTTCCAAATATGGTAAGCATAGCTCCTACCACTTCATACAAATCATTAAGAAAAAAACAGTTGAAGAGGACCATATAGTCCATTCAACACTTTCCTGAACTTTGATGTGAAAACATTGATGAGCTTTTACTGAGTACAATTTTCAAGCAAGAAGTAGATTCACCAAATAGGGACGCCATCCAGCCCATACTGAACTACCTTGTTTTGTTGAAATTAAGTTACAGTATATACAGTATATTATATGCTTCAAATGCCTACAATCTCCAATAAGGAAGTGCCCAATCAAAAAAATGGGTGGGGGGAGGGAATACTGACTTCAACTAAGTACTACATTGAAAAGCAATCTCTAAACATTTAGGAAACAATCTATTCTGGAATCTTCCTAACTGATGTCAAACTGATTGCTCTATAGCTCTCAAGATTCTCATTTTTTAGTGCTTTGTGAAGGTCAAAGATGGCTAGAGATTCAGTCAAACTATCAGCAAGTCCTTTTAATATTTGAGAATTTCACCTTCCTGCTATGTCTTCTTTCAATTTCAGAAAATCATTTTTAATAGTAAAGGACATATTGCATACTATTTGAAATCCCCATGATACCTTTCAACATGATAATGGTTCCCATGTCTCCTTTTTTGAATGAATATTGACAAAGTAGGAGACTCCATGTGGGAATAAAGAGGTCAGCCTTCTCCCAGAAATAAGCAATCCTCCAAAGCAGATTTGGATAGCCGCAAAGTACTATATGTTGGTTCTATTTCTCTAGATCTAATTGGAGAGGAAAAAAAAATCTCTATGGCATAAATCAAAGACTTGGTAACCTAGAACCCATTTAACGAACTATTGCTCCCTAGATGTTTCACTCTACAATTAACTCTACAATTAACCTTCCATCTTTCTAAGTTGGTAAAATGAGGACCCATATTGTTGGGGGCAATATGCTGACTCTCTAAACCACTTAGAGAGGGCTGTATAGCACTGTGAAGAGATATATAAGTCTAAGTGATATTGCTATTGAAATTCACTTTGAGCTATAATTTGAAAGAGAATTTCTATATATTATTGGTATTTAACACCTTAAATTGACAAAGATACTGTATATACAAATAGTGTGTCAAACATATGTTGGAAATATAATCATTCTGAAGGCACCTTTTCTCGCCTCTGGCGGACATATAAGGAGGCTAAGAGTTACTTGGATCAAATACGTTTGATACATTTAAAATTCAGAGAATTTTTAAAACAAAGGTACAGTTGCAATCAGAGATTTTACTTTTAGGTTTGATGGATAAGCAGTTAGAGAAAAAATATGGATCTTTGTTTCTAAACATTATAACTGTGGTGAGATTTTTGTAATGCCCAGCAATGAAGTCTTACAGATTCTACAATGGAAGGATGGATGGTGAAGCTAATGAAACTGATTGAGATGGTGAAATTAGCTATCTTGATTAAGGAAAATTCTTGTCTAACTTTGCTTCTAGGTGGTAAATCCAGGATCATTTTCCTGGAAACAATATATATATATATATTGATTTTAGGATTTGATACAGGGTCATAAAATGAAGTTTTGGGAATTGATTAGAAATGTTTGAGATTACAGAAATACTGGGTATTATTGAATTTTAGATCAAAAGGTTAATGAATTTTATATTTGTAACTAATGAAGAAAGGTAGAAGCTTCCCTTTATTTTTGTTTTGCTTTTAATCCTCTGCATCTTCCCTTCCCCCATCTTTTTCCTTCTTAATAATTTTTGCTTTTATATTTTATTTTTATAGAAATTTAATAAAGTATATTAAAAAAGGAAGGTTCGGTGCTGACATAGTTTTTATTCTTCACTATTTGTAAAGGGAAATATTTGTATTGGTTTTATTTATTCCACCTCTTATTCAAGAGTTCACAATGGCATCTGCTGCAGTCCCTCCTCTTCCTCCTATGTTCCCTAGGACACAAACCATGAGGTAGAGATGAAAAAGAGTGACTGTCCCACATTCACCCAGTGTGTTTTCATGGCTAAGGTTGTGTGTCTCCCTTATTCTAATCTAACATTTTAACCTCTATACCATAGTAGCTATTTAATTACACTAGATATTCAATTCTTTTTTAAAAAAACTGAAGAGATAAAGGTTTCCCTTCTACTTTAAGAGATTCCACTGAAAATAATGGAGAAAATAGTCTAGTAGCACTGCCAAAACCATAGACAATGGATTATTGAAAGTAATCTTCCAGAGAATGGTAGAAAGGACAAGTGATAATGTAGAGCATACGTGTGATAATTTTCTGGCTTATTGTTGTCCAGGAGTACTAGGAGGTAACAAGGTTTTAAGATGCATTAAAAAACCATCCATCCATCCATCCATCCATCCATCCATAAAACATAAAACCAGATAATAAACACAAATATTAATATCCTGGGAGCATTTAACAAGCGACAGACATTAAAACAAAACATAGAAATCTTGTCTGTTCTGAAGTTCTCTGATAAGCAATAGATATTTTGATCAATATGCGACTTAAGAAAAAGAAGCATCGGTACTTGCTTCTGCCCATATCCCCAATTAGAAAAACATTGATGCTCCAAGCCAATAAAAACAATGAGAATAAATAAATACACATTAGCAGGGCATGGAAAGTCAAACTGTTTAAAGCATACTGCTGAAAGCTTATTGGAAGTGGGGGGGCAATAGCTAGAGGAAATGAAGAACACTTGTGGGCTTTCTCAAGCATCTGGTTACCCAACATGCTTTTATCACAACTAAGTAGATTCCCACAAGCAAAAAGCAGCAGCACTCCTTGCTGGCGCCTCTGACCAATGGAAATGGGGGGGGGGAGGGTAAATATTATGTAAATGAGGGAAAGAAAAGGTAAGGAAAACATGCATTGGTGGATGAAAAAGGCCTGGCCTGTACTATAACTATATTGGAGGCCATTTGTATGCCAGAAGGACTGACGGATCAGTTAAGAGCTTAGACTACACAGGCTTACCGGGTCTTCTAAATATACCATCAAGAAATTATAGACCAAAATGCCCTCTGGTTATTGCTCTTTAAAAGAGGCCTTTGCTATTGTATAAAATGGCATAAAGTGACTATCAGTACTGTAGAAGCCTTGGGAAACTTAGGACATTTTTCAGTTGAATTAGCTCAGATTGAACTAGCTTGGCATACAGTATTTGAATTGAACCAATTCAACTCAAATTCAATCCCTATCAATCCCTTCCCCGTAAGAAATTCTCTTGCTTAGTAGCCTTTTCTAAATTTCATTGAATCATACTGCTCCTGGTCTTGTCTGCAATCTTTCTTTATCTTTAGGTAAATGGAAGACTTTGTTGCCCTTTTTAAAGGTTGACCAACATAGGTGCTTTCTTCTCTTTGAGTATTAGCTGTCCTAGACCATACTGCATCAATCAAGGCAGATTACTGAATATGTTTTTTTAATGATTTGGATGGACTACATTGCTGCTTTATTTAAATACTTCACATTTTAAGCATATAGTATGGATTTCTTTGGGAGAAATCTGGGTTGAACTTTGTACTCACCACGTGCATAACTACTGAGAGCAATGCTGGCATACTCCTGTTGTCATACTATACTATAAAAAGGGAGGGGCATGTTCTATGTTTGTAGTTTACAATCTCTACTATTCTCTGATGAGAAACAATCCATATATTTAATCACCACCACCTTACACAAGAAAGTTTCAAAATTCTTTAAGGGTAAAAGAGTGTGGACGTTCTTCAAACATTCACAGGAATTCTAATTTTAATCATTTGATCAGTTACTTTTTATGGATTACAGGGGTTCTGTCCATTCTGTTTCTATTTAATATTTCCAAAATGTGCAAAATCTTCCTTTTTGAAAATAGGACAGTTATTCCTAGGTTCAGTACTCTTCTCCCCTATATTAATTTAGTTGATTTTCATTTCCTTATTTTCATTTTACCATTTTTAATGGTAGCAAATGCAATTGTTCTTTTGAGTTGTTCACAGTCAGGTGGCTTACAAATATTTTTATTATTATTATTATTATTATTATTATTATTATTATTATTATTATTATATAAGCCATGACGACCTATTCTGTAATTGTAGAAGATCACTAACAGACAGCTATTATTTGCTTAAGTTTCATGCCTTAAAATGTTACTTCAACTAAGATAGGTGTGCTAAATCCAACAATTTTGTGAAAAAAGAATCAAGAGTGCATTTATTGGCATCAAGAGATAAGGATACATACATCTTCCTCTTAATGGGCCAATACAAATATGTTTAAAATAAATTGCTGGGGACACTTCTATTTAAATTGTAATTGCTTTGTTCAGCAGGCACTGCACTTTCATTATCCCTGTATACAATTCTCTGGCCGTACAACTCCTCTCCTTTGTGCTGAATACCTATTGCTGAGTATCTGTGGCTCAGAAATATTATACCACCTGCCCCTTGTATTAAAACTCAATTTCCAGCAAACAAAAGGAAACCTTTCTAAGGCATGTGGCCCCAAACTAATGCCACTGATACAAACATGTTTTGTCATGCTTTTAGTCTTCAAAGTTGTGGGTGAAACATTTTCTACCTGATATCCAAAGAAGACCATCCACAACACATCCTGCATGACAGGAAAGGGACCTGTCAAAGGACAGAACAAAAGTCCATTTGTTCTTCTTAGGGCAGTATCGTTCAACAGTTGGCAAAACTTGACGTAGCTCATTTCTGCCTCCCACAGCATAGAGAAATTCATCCACAGCCCCAAGTACAAAATGCTCCCTGCAATTCTTCATCGGAGCTATTTCTGCCCAGGAATTGTTACGGGGATCATATCTACAAGCAGTCCGTACTGCACATGTGCGGCCAGTGGCTTGTTCAACTTCACCGCCTGCTACAAAGAGGAAATCTCCCATTACAGCCACGCAGTGGTGGCTTCTTCCTACTGGCATGGGAGCCAGCTCACTCCAGTTTGCAATCCCTGCAATGTGAACGTTTTCTTGGTCCACAGGATTGAAGTATCGCAGCTCTTTAACTCTGCATATTTCCCGTTTTTTTCCACCTATGATGTAAAGTGTGTCTGACTGGAAGCGAGGTTTCGTCCTTCTGGTCTGCCAAATTGGCTGTGCATAGATACTTTGATGATAGACCAAAGCCTCATTGATCAGTGCTATTGCCGTTTCACTAGTTTGGACAAGAGGGTGTGAGAGAGCAACCGTATGCAGTGTATCCTCATCCATAAGCCCAAATCGAACGTACTGTAGAAGTTCATCCATGTACTGATATCGGCAGTTGTGTTCTAGCCATCTCACAGCTAGCTAGAAGGGAGGAAAAACATTAAAAAAAATGAACTTATCTACATTATTCACAATTCGGTGTGAGAAATACATATTTGAATTATTCAACTTATCAACAAAAAATTATACTCCCAAATTTAATCTTGCTGCATATATAAAAACATTCCTTCATCTCCCCTAAAATAATGACGACTCTGTGTAGAATTAATGTATGATAACAGGGCCGTCTTGTCTTAGCAAACATTAAAATAATGGGTGCCCTGCATAAACAAGAAGAAACAACACACGACAAATGGGAGTTTTCCCATAATGACTAATGTACGTTATATTGGTAATCAATTGACCAGAGCAGCCTTCTCCAATTTGGGCCTGTGTTTGAACAACATGTCTCCAAAGTTCTCAAACTCTCAATGGTGTCCAATGTTGATGTTCAATGAGCATTATGGGAGTTATTATCTCAACATTTTTGGATGCCACCAGATTGGGGAAGGTTGTACCCATTAGTCATGGTCACTGGGTATTTTGGGGATTATAGTTCCAATTTATTTGAACAACACAAAATTGGGGAAAGCTGTGGGAAAGCAAGATAAAAAAATGTCAAGAGCCACATCTCTATTGATATATATATATATATATACCTATCTATTAAAGTATTGGGTCTCCTGCTTGAGCTGGGGGTTGGACTAATAGATCTCCAAGGTGCCTTCCAACTTTACTATTCTATGTTCTATTAGCCATACAATATATAAGGCCCTTATTCATTCTTGATGATTTTATTTTTTTATCATTGTTAATGCATGCACGCAACTTTTGAACTCCTAATTGACAGTTAACCAAAAGGCACACCCCTGAAGTATACTGTACAAAGCATGTTACAAAGATTAAAATGAGCACAACAACAACGATGAACTAGATGCAATAAATTATTTGAGTGCTAGCAATCATAGGTAGTAGAATGAAGCACACTCAGGATTTCTTTTCTAGTATATACATGCAGTGCTTTGCTGGACATGTGATAGTGCCATAAAGCTGTGATAACTATGGATGTATGAGAATAATGTGCTGGACAATATCTGAACTTGAAATACCCCACTGAAATCAATGGGAAAAAAATCCACTGGGATTCGTTCCACTGATTCCAATAGGAATGAAGAACTGTATCAAGGGGTTTGGAGGCAAGCTACAGTACTATCAACAGAGCAGAAGCTCTATATTGAATAATCAATCCCTCAAAAACCAAGTAGTGACATCTGGAATCAGCTGAAGCCTCCAAACCATTTTACAGAGCAGCACCGCTAATAGGCATAAGTCTCTCAGTTTCCTATTTTCTGCACCTGAAGCTCCGGTGGAGACCTACCTGATGAGAACAAAAGAGCATGCTTTAATAAAGGTTTTTTCCCCCATATAGCAAGATCTTTATTTATTGTTTTTTGCCTGATTCTGCTCCCCCCAGAATGCGTATATTCATTTTTAATAACTATTATTAGCCTCTCTGAATGGGACATATGATCAGATAGGCAGAATTTCTCCCTCCCACCTGCACCCTTGTCTCACCACTAAAGAGAAGGGGGAAAAAATCATGTGGCTTGTGAGAGCAATCGTGTGAAAACTTTTCTTTTTCTTTTTTTAACTGCCGTCCCTGTTTTCGTATTACAGATACAAGTCTACCACCTCACAAACAGCCCTGGCAATATTCCATGAAACATACTACTATTTAAAGCAAAATAACTTCCACAGTAATTTTTGACATTCTTATTCTACAGCATGAAACAAAAAGCAAAATAAGACCATGCCAGACACAGATGATAAACAACCAAGGAGGGGGAGGGGAATTAAAAGGAGGAGGAGGAGGGAAGCAGGATTGCACTAGATCCGCTGTGGCTTTAAGTACAACCCACGGAGCCCGAAGAAGGGAAGCAAGGAAATAAAAATAAAAATAAATTAAGAGAGCAGAGGAAGCTACAGTGAAGGTCAGGGAGTGAAAGAACTTCCTCAGGGCACAGAATAAATTAAATCCCAAAGAAAAAAAAAGTGATTTCCAGAGTGCAAGGCACAAACTCAAAATGACAATGATTGGCAGCCAAACTATATCCATGCAATATCGAAGGCTGCACGTTCTCATTTACCTCAGTGTAGCCAGCAAGCGCCCATTAAACATCCGTCTGATGCCCAAATTAACCTTCTTGGCAAACTGAAAGAGGCACAAACTATCATAATCAACCTTTCATTATCACAGCAGCCTCTAGTTAAAGGGTCAGAATAATTGTGCCATCAGAGCCCTGATTGTTTTCAATCAACAGACGGCTGGAGTGACAGCTCCGTGATGGAGTAGTTTGATGAAACCGCACCAGGCCTAATCAGAGCAGATGAAAGGAAGGCATGATTGGTGCAAATGAACAGTCGTGCCTCTCTTTTTCATTTACAATCTGAAATTACTCTTAAATTTACAGGTTTTCCCCCCACTCTCCCCTCCTCCTCGAGTACCTCAGAAAGAATATTTGACTTATTATGAGTTCTGACAGTGCAGAGTTATAAAAACACAGGTAGGATTCTGCCTCCTCCCTTTGCTCCAAGTGCAGGCTTTAAGTGTGCGTTCAGTATAATTTCAGCAAAACCCAGTCACAAGATAACTGACTTCCAGTGACCTCACCTTTCCGTGTTGTTTGATTAACCGGGCAGTTTATTCTAGCCAACAGTTTTCACAATGTTAGGGAAGTTTGGAAAATGGAAACGGAGCAATAGCAATGACAATGAATGTGCAAAGAGCTCTGCAACACATTTTCTTCAACAATAAATGTATTGCCATTCTCAGTTTTGAAGTGATACAGTTATGATGTTTTCTTTTCTTTGAGGGGGGGGGAGAAATCAAAGCCAAGAACATTTCTGGAATTTAATACACAGAGAGGGGTGGAAGGGAGGGAGGGGGAGACCTACATATATATGTAGGTCTTTGGTTATTCGGGTTTTCTCCCGCGTAAAATTGGAAGTGTCTTGGCGACGTTTCGACGAAGTCTCATTCGTCATCTTCAGGCTGGTGTTTTCGGCTTCATGCTTCTAGGAGCAATGTGTGATCGCAGCTGTTTCTTCCTTTTAACTGCCAGTGGGGGTGTGAACTGATTGGGTGGGAGCTTGGCTGTGTTCTGATTGGGTGGAGGTGTGTTCTGATTGGTTGGAGGCTTGGCTGTGCTCTGATTGGATGGGCGGTTGGCTGTGCTCTGATTGGGTTGGGGTGTGTTCTGTTTGGGTGGGGGCTTGGTTGTGCTCGGGTTAGTCTGAGTTGCAGGGGGATTTGAGCTGGTGAGCTGCGTTGCTGTTGTTTGGCTTCGCGTTCGTGGTCGTGCCACATCTTCATGGTGGGTGTCAGTTTGCTTCATGTATGGATTGGAGGGGTTTAAAGTGGCTAATGATGCAGCTGTGGTCTGGCTTCTGGTTTGTGGTTGTGCGTCATCATCGGTGTGGGTTTTGGTTTGCTTTTTGCATGGTGTGTGGTGGTGACATCCTGTGTGGTTTTTATGAGTGTGGGTCTGGTGTCATTCTTGGTGTTAGGGACTCATTTGTCAATAAGGGTGGGTTTCCAAATGGCTGGTAAGCGGGAGGTATCATCTTGTTTATTCATGCTGTGTGGGCGTTTTTCTATCTCGATGGCTTCTCTGATTATTCTGTTGTTAAAGTATTCAGTTTTGGCGATAGTTCTGGTCTTTTTAAAGTCAATTTCATGTCCTGTGGCTTTAAGGTGTTGGACCAGGGAAGAAGTTGGTTTCTCTTTTCTGACTGAGTTTTTGTGTTCTTCAATGCGTGCACTTATTCTTCTGTTGGTTTGTCCGATGTATGTGGTGGGGCAGGCGGTGCATGGGATTTCATATACTCCTTGATTTTCTAACTCAATTTTGTCTTTGGGGTTTCTTAGGATGGTGGATATTTTTTGGTTTGTGCAGAATGCTGTCTTGATGTTGTGTTTGTGGAGGATCTTGCTGATTCTTTCTGTGGTGCCTTTTATGTATGGGAGGAGGTTTTGCCGTTTTCTTGTTTTCTGTCTTGGATTTTAGTGGGTTGATTTCTTTTTGGATTAGGTTGGTAATCTTATTTCTTTGGAATCCGTTGGATGTTAGTATGTTAGTGAGAGTGTGTAGTTCGGTTTTTAGGTGTTGTTCGTCAGCTAAGCGTTTTGTTCTGGAGATGAGTGTCTTGGCTAAGGAGTTGATCTGTGCTGGGTGGTGGTGTGAGAGTGCGTGCAGATAGCGGTTTGTGTGTGTTTTCTTCTGGTAGATGGTGTGTCCTAGGGAGCCATTGGATTTCTTGTAGACTAAGACATCCAGGAAGGGAAGTTGGTTGTTAGCTTCTGTGTCCATTATGATTCTTTATGATCTCTATGAACTGGAATGAGTTTTTTACGTGTGAGGTGATGGATTCTGCATAGGGCTGTAGTTGTTTGGCGAGAAATTTGGCTAGGTTTTGTAGAGGTGAGCCTATGGGGCTGACTATGGGTCTAAGAGGGGTTCCTTCTTTGTGTATCTTGGGGAGACCATAGAGCTTAGGGCATCTGGATGATTTCTCTCTGGGAATGATTCTTTGCTGGATCTCTTCGCAAAATACAATTCACCAAGGAAACAGAAACTAACAACCAACTGCCCTTCCTGGATGAAGCCGAAAACACCGGCCTGAAGATGACGAATGAGACTTCGTCGAAACGTCGCCAAGACACTTCCAATTTTACACGGGAGAAAACCCGAATAACCAAAGACCTACATACAAACACCCGCGAAAACCTGAGAAAACAAATATATATATATATATATTGGAGCTGCTGATTTCAGAACTATGTTCTTACTTAATCTATTATGAATTAAAGCTAACGGTCTGATACTCTTAATTATGAGGAAAGGGGAACAAAATATTCCAGGCATTGCTAACTCACACCATACTCCTAAACTCTCTCAGCTAGCTTTGCATAATTCTACCACATTGTTGTTTTTTTTGAGATTCTAGTAACTATTAAAATAAAAGTGCCAAAGGCAACCTCA